AAATATATTACATTACATACAGTAAATACATTATATTAGATACAGTAAATATATTACATTACATACAGTAAATACATTATATTACATAGAATAAATACATTATATTACGTGCAAGAAATACATTATATTACATACTGTAAATATATTATATTACACACAATAAATATATTACATTACATACAGGAAATATATTACATTACATGCAGTGAATACATTATATTACATACAATAAATATATTATATTACATACAGTAAATACATTATATTATTTACAGTAAATATATTATATTACACAAATTATATTAAGTTAATTTATATTATTTACAGTAAATATATTATAGGCCCTACTAAAGACATAATAATCATCATAAACTCTATATTTAGCTGTAATTCGTGTAATGTTATTTATGCATTATTTTGTATTTTGGAGAAACAGAAAACTTATATAAATCTCATGCAATATGAAAATAATTTCCTATTATCTACAAACAAACACATTAATAAATGCATTATGAAAAAATTTCATATATTAGAAGAATTTTTTTTTTTCAAATATTTACGTTTTGGTATATTTGTGAAATAAATATTGTTTTATGAAATTTATTTTATCAATCAGTTTAAAACCACATTAAATTTTACACAGTATAACGCACAGAGGGAAATTAAAAGATAAATATACAAAGCTTTAACGTACTAAATAAACGTAGAAAGTTTTGTCATTTTTGTGTAGGTTTTATAAAAAAAAATGTCTTAATTTGGAAACTGAAGCGTATCCTTGAAGACAGGAAACCGGGGTTCATTTTTTTTTATGTATGTGTGTTTATATTGTATGTTCAATTAACAATAATAGAATATTAAAAAATATTTTAACATTTTCATTTTATTTTATTATATATGCATCTGCATAACAACAGGTTTTATTTGCAGACATGCGGCGTTATATATATATATATATATACTATATGCACACGTGATTGTTATAGGTTCATATATATTACGTTAACGAACAAATTAATACACATATTATGTTTTAAAGATTTATGCACTGTTAATACAGGGTTAATAACTTATTCAAACTTACCAAAATACCATTCTGAGCTGCAGGGTAAAACAATCTCACAAATATCCCGGACTTGGAATAACTGGTCATGATGTCTGTGCAGCCCACCGTGAAAGGCCCCGACGGTAACGGGATATGCCATCGGCCGTCATGCCTTAGTTTAAAATTAAAAAACTTTCGTTGCTTTTGCATGATAGCTAACTTGGAGAACTAAGCCTTATACGCTGTCTCGATAGTAGTTTCGATTTAAGACTTTCTTTTCTGCGTCTCCAGTCTACGTCACGGTGACCTTATAACACGAAAAAACATACATCGCTCCGCAGCCTCACTTTTCACTTTCATTAACACGGGAAACAAGTTCACGAAATCACCACTAGAGCTCTGCTAGCTTCGTGGAAGTTTGTTGAGCAACTGACATCGTCCTCTCGTTTCTACCTCACGCTATCACTATGTAGAGATGGTGGCAGCACTTTCCATGAATGTGGAACCGCGCGAAGCCCGACGCCCTTGTTCTACTTGAATTGCCTGAATTGGTTTGATAAGCTGATTAGGTCTTACTTAATGTTGCAAGGTTTTTGTCAATATTGAATAAGTCTTACTTTTCTGTACAAGACAATGTTATAGTTCCTGCACTAGCTGGAATAGCGGGACGTGCAGAATACTTTCGCGATATTTTAACAATTGCATATTGTTTGTAGTCATTATGTTTATTACAATTAGTTTTAGTAATTATGTTTCTTATAATTAATTTTCGAATATGACCCCCCCCCCCACTGAGTCAGTGGTAAATCTATAGACTTGCAGTTCTGAGATCCGAGGTTCAGCTTCGATTCTCTGTGGTGGACTGAGCGCAAACAGTCCACTGTATGTTGCTTTGCATTGTAACAAACCGACTATGAACTGATTTACAAAAAAATTCTTATCTTTTGTTAATGGAGCATATAGCTTTGTATGTACGTATGTCCAGCTAACTCCTCCAACAGGCGGACTCAGGGTGGCCCAGGGTACTCTTATCTATATGACGTAGCCCCCCTACCTGGAATGTTACCCAGGCAGAATGGGAGTCTAAGAGTAAGTTTCTCGGGTTCGCTGAACCAGAATCTGGTATCGGATTCTATATTTCTGGTCCCCTCGCGATACTGGGGGGCGTCATGTTTGAAACTGTGTTCAGACCCCCTTTTACAAGCTAACGGGACCAAACTTAGTACACGTGCTCAGGTATCACGAACGAGTATCATAATGGATCTTTTGCCGTGTACGGACCCCCCCCCCTCGACTTAGGATAGTTCTAGACGTAGTTAGGTAAGTAATGATTGTTATCGTATATTCACCCTTGATGTATGTAATTTTTGCTTCGTTTCAAACGTGACTAAAAAACAGAAAGCCTCCGCTATATTTTGTTTTCCACCTTAAATTTCATTCGTGTTTCTTTCCTGTGTGTGTGGTTATGCACACTTTAAAATAACTTATTTGAAGCAATGCAATATAGCATAATTATAACCTACTTGACTTGCGTCGATTCCGAAGTATAACCGAACCTATTCCACTCAGCCTTTATTAACTCTCAACTTCACTTCTCACTCCTTTACCTAAATACGTACTTAGTAACCTTCACCTGAGGTGTGTTAGCAACTAAAGTAGGACTAGAACACTAGATAATCAAGTATAGACTGTCATGCAAGTGTTCATTAAAACTTGAAATTTCTTACAAACCTGTCTCTCCCGGTGGATCAGCGGTTAGTTTACAGACTAAAATCCGGGGCTCGATTACTCATAGTGGACAGAGTGCATATAGTCCATTGTGTAGCTTTGCATTAAGAAAACGAAAAACAAGTCCAACAAATCCGGTGATCTGTTCCGACTAATTATTCTAAAATTTCCGAACGAAAGATAAAATTCTAAATATAACGTGACAACATAGTATTTATACACTGCTACATGTATATAAAGCATCTCTTCCAAACCTACACTAAACTAGCCTAGAAGAAGAGCGTAAGGATACAATGCATAGTCAAGGAAACGACGTCGTCTTGGAACTAAATTTTACATTAGATATACTCTCGTTGGAACAAAATCTGAATCCTTATACACTGCCGTAGAAGCAATTTTTGAGAAGTTAGGCCATTGTCACATTGCCATTTCTAGGGGTGTGGGGGTATGTCCCCCAATTAAAAAAATTAATGCTGTTTGATTGAATATTGAGTCATTTTAATCACAAATACTGCATACACACAACGTAATGTATTGGATTAATAGAATCAAATTTTAATAGTCATTCGGGGCCTTGTAAGCAACAGGTATAGATCTATAAGCAATTTGGTGCAAAAAATATGCCTAAAATCCCTCTGGGTTCACATGATCTCGTCGGTAATTTTAGGGTTAATTACTTTTAATCCAGAGTTCTGTTAGTTGTTCGTTTAAGTTCATACGAAATGATAATGACTATAGCAGAACCGAACTATGAACTATTATTGTCTGTAGAAACCTGAACACCTAACATTGTGCCATTATATTCATTAGAGACAGGTTGTTATCGTTTTAAACGGCGCATTTCTAATCTAGTTTCGTTTTGGGGGGGATTTTTTTTCCGATAATCCACATTTCATTGATTGTTTCTACATTTTCATTCTTTGATTTGATGAAAAATAAAGGATTTCGATGCTTGCATTTCGTAAAAACCTAGTAAATATGGATTTTGTTTATATAAAAAACAAAAACAACAGATTGTTCCTTAATGCGCCACCTATATTACTTCCTCCAAATCAGTTAGTTGTTATCGTTGGATTCCAGATCAGTATTGATATTCTAATTATAATGCCCTCTAGTGGCACCTGCGGCACGTCTGCGGATATACTGCTAGAAACCGGGTTTCGATACCCGTGGAGGGCAGAGCACGGATATCTCTTTGTGTGTAGCTTTGTGCTTAATAACAAACAACAATTTGATTTTAATATTAAAAAAAGTATTGAAAAACCCTTTTCTTCCTCCGATAATTAACCGTGTTAAGTTCTTATATTTACGTATCTGATTTCACCTAAAGTATTTGTTTGTTTATTTGTAATTAAGCACAAAGCTACACAATGGGCTATCTGTGGTCTGCCCACCACGGGTATCGAAACCCGGATTCTAGAGTTGTAAGTCTGCAGACATACCGCTGTGCTACTGGGGGGGCTTACCTAAAGTAAGCCAGGGTCGTCGAACTTTTGAATGAATCCCTCTCTATAGATCCGAAAACAATCGTTATTTGGTTATTACACTTTTAAACGATTTCTTTGGAAGATAAAAAGCTTGGAAGCGACGTGATTACATTTTATATATAGTTTTTGGCAAATTGTATCCGTTAAAAAAACGGAAGATTACGTTTCATTGAAGTAAACAACGTCGTTTGGCCACAAAATTAAACCTTTATGAGATTAAATTAGAGACGAGACATTTATAGAACGACGCGGAAGTTTCTTGAAGGAAATGTAGGTCATTGTTTCTTTCATAGCTTACAGAAATATAGCTTGTTCATGAAAATGCTATAGCTTCGTATCCGTGAAACAGCACGCTTGGTGTCAAAAATATTGGGTTGAGACAATATGTAATAAAAGCAAAAAGAAAGTGACGACATTTAAAGTAGTATTATATTACACACAAAAACCTGAATAACAAAATTTTAAATATCTTCTGTTATTAAACAGAACTGACGACTTTTATAGTGGCATGTTATAATGTAAGGACAGTGGGGGTGTAACTTAATACAACCCATTATGTATAATTAGAATATTCATGTTTATAAGTGAACAGCCGGACCGGCATGGCCAGGTGGTTAGGGCGATCGATTCGCAATCTGAGGGTCGCGGGTTCGAATCCCCGTTCCACTG